TCTGGATCAGAATCTCAGGATACAGAATCAGCTGGTTGCATGTGAATCCCATTTCCAGCACGAGATGCCTGTCTCATATGGGCAAACTATGGCACTTCGTACAAATTACATGAGACAGTGCAAGGTGTAGGCACACAGAAAAATGGGTAAAGTATTGGTTTTCACTAATACTACTACAACTCCTACTGGAGGTGGCAGAACTGTGAAGTCTGAGGGGAAGGAAAAACGGGAAGGGGATGAAGAAAGAATGAAGGTGTGTTATGTACCTGTACCAACTCATGACAGATATAGACATTATGTACCACAAATGCGCACTGATAAAAATTTACAAATAAATAATGCAGTTAGTGGTAAAAACAGAAATGCTGGTACTACTAGGGAGGCAGCCCCAGGCTGAGGAGGAGGCAAGGGAAGCGCTTGGCCTTGTTACCTAGGCAAGCAACAGGGGTGGGGGCTGGAGCCACTAGTGTAAGTCAGAAGTCTCTCCAAGCTTCCTTCACAGAAAGGAGTACAACTACCTGCCTCACAGAGCTGTGGTAAGGTGAACAATCGCTGAGGAAAAACCGAATCGCACCTGGCCACTTAATTTGTGTTGTCCTGCCTATTCATTCTCCTCCTGTTCTAAAAAATATCTTACAACCCCATGATTCCAATGGGCCCAAGCCATTATGGAGAACTAGGTAGAAATGTATGTACTTGTCTGGAGGAAGCAAAGGTTTAGAGAATTTAAATGCAAAGTTTAATGTGTTTACCATCTTTCACTGGTTATTTTGTTGGTTTCTTTATCAAATCAATGTGCTTAATGTTTGATGTTAAATGTTAACCACTGTATAACCAAATGTGTTAAAATACACCCAATGAATATTTTAGGTCGCTTTAATTTGCCCACTGTTGGAAGAAAAACGATAGTAAGATTAAAGTTCAGGAAGTCACACAAAAAAAGCCACCCACATGTTTCGAATTTTTCCTGAAGTACCACCACACCTTTACTGTGACAGCATGGGGTGTGACAGCATGCCCAGTAAAGAGCATGTTATGTGACTTGAGAGGTGGGTACCTGAAACACTGTCAAATGCTTTAAATAATTTTGTTAATGCTTCCTCCTTTCAATTAGTCAACTACAATTTTTTTCCTCTGTAGTACAGAAATCACATGGGTACTAAAATAAAATATATCCTACTTCCAATCTGCCATGTATAATTTTTACATACCTGGCTGGCGTTTAGTTGTGAAGTTAAGTGTTCATAACATAGGAACTTTAGAAGTGATATCAAAAATCGAGACTGAGGCTACAGCAACAAAGTCACAGCCAGCACTTGCTGGCAACATTCGATAGATATAATTAAACATCATAACACAAGTCAGAAACATTAGCATATATATTAGAGGTGTTACCATTTTCTGAAATTATAATTTTTAATTTAAGGAGCAAGTAACTTTCACTTGTGAAGGGCTGTTATTCCAAAGAAGCTCTGAGCATCCCTTGGCATACTGTAGCAAGCTGGCCCTCTGATCCACAGATTCCCCCCATGGATTCCATTCTATGTCTTTCATTTAATTAACTGTGGATCAAAAATCCCCCCACCCTGGTTGCCTCTTATACTATGTGTGCACAGACTTCTGTCATTAACTCCCTAAACAATACAGAATAACTACTTACACGGCATTTAGATATATTAGGTATTATAAGTCATATGTGTGGTTTGATCAAAATATATGGTGAATATTGACTTCTTTTTTTTTTTTTTTTAAGTTTTATTACAGTAAAGGACACATTACCATCAATCCACCTCAAACATCCCTCTCGGGAAGTCCTACTACATGAGTATCTTTACAAGGTGTTATAAAAAATGAAGACAGACTTATAAAAAATTATGGTGTAGCCTCATCCACATTATTCACTGGATATGGCACCATGAGATTTCTGGTTCTGCCTCCAGGTCAAAATAACTATGACTTGTTAACTTTTTGAACTGATTCAGAACATCAAAAGAACCACAACAACATTACTGAAGAGACTCCAGAATGAGAACTTCTAAAACTGCTTCACAAAGTGGCAAGAACAATAGGATAAATGTGTTTAAGGTGAGGGGGAATATTTCGAGTTAATGGCAATGTCTCTTTTACTATAATACATTTAAAAAATTTTAAATCATTAACTGTATTTTTCTATCATAGCTCATAGAGACAATTCAACATATGGAGGAAGAAAAGTACGGTTCCTATGCAGTTACTACTCCATTTCACATAAAGGACTTGAACACCCATGTATTTTGCCATGACCCAGACACTGAGGGACCATAATGTCTATATAGTTATGTTTGTGAGTGTGTATGTATTTGTGTGGTGGTTGTTTCGTCTTCTCCAAAAGTGAGCTCCCTGAGAGGAAGAACTTTGTTTCCTTTGCTGCTGAATCCCTAACATCTGAAGCAATGGCTGGCATATGATAGTGTTCAAAAGGTTCCCATGTCGCTCAGTTTCCACATGAGCACCGCCAAACTAGAATCATTATTTCCTCAAAGGGCCCAAGGTATTGATTCCCATTTAAGGACCCTCTAACTCAAGTACTGGGGTCCAATCTATCGGACCCGCTTTGATTTCGACAGTGAAAGGCCATTCAGTCGGACCATTCAGATTACACAGCCGTCATCCTGACACACACAAAACGTATCTCTGGACTCTATTCTGCGAATATGGTAAGGTCTGGGTTCATCAGCTGTGGAAGGTTCGTCTCCCTTATTCTTTCCCTGTCTGTTACTTCTCCCTGCAAGCCTCCTTGAGCACGGTCTCATGTTCATGGCACTCGATACCCCTCCTTCCTTACAGTCACCCACACCACAGGGATTTCATGTCTCCCTCTCTAGATGTCACACTCTGCTGGGACACAGCAGGGCCCTCTTCTCCCCAGCCCCTGACACATGCACACAGTCATGTAAATATTTACAGAATGGACTGAATAAATCTGCCACAGGAATAACAAAAGAGCAGCATTCTGGTTTGACAGATCCATAACCAGAGAGGACAGACAGCAACTGTGAGGAGGCTACTACAGTTGGTGATAAAACACTCCAGTTTTTAAACCAGGAAAACAAAAATAATTGGGAGGGTCCTCCCAGTAGCTGCAAGGTGTGCCCTATAAAGGGCCACACTCAGAGGGAGAGGGGTTTGCCTACACAGGAGACAGAACAGGCAGTGCAAGAGACCCTGGCAAGAGGGAAGCAGTGCTTAACAGCAGAGAAAAGAGCATAATGAAATAGAAGGTTTGGGATGAGAGTGCTAGTCTAGTGTGCATTACAGTGCTGAGTCAAGACCCCAGGGAGAAGGAAACGGGGTGGGGGGAGGAAGGAAAAGGGAAAGAAAAGAAAGATGGATGATTTAGACTCCAGACTCCTCTGTTTACGAGCTAAATATCATGAGTGTAACTTAGGGTACCTGGGCCTCAGTTTCTTCATCTGTAAAATGAGCAAAACAGCCTACCTCACGGTGGAACAACCAACAAAATGCTCCTCAAACAACTAGGTACTCTACAAACAGGACTGGCAGGCAGCCTCCACCAAAGAGCCCTGTCCATTCCTCAGAAAGAACAGGAAGGACACAAACCCGAAGGCTCTTTAAGCACTCACCCCGGCACATACGGATCCTAATCCACCAGCATGGCTCCCTTATGAAGCAGTCAGTTGCTGGAAGAGACTGCTGCAGCCGTGCCTGCCCTAGAGGGCCCAATGACGCACTTTACATCATTTTCTTCATTTACCTCTGACTCGGAAGCGGTCGACTTTGGCATTGGCTACCCCAGTTCATAACCGCCAGGCAGGGAGGTCTGTAGGCCATGCACGGGCGCCCTGTCTTCACTGCAGGCCAGGCCTCTCCTCCACCACCCCCAGAGGAGGCCTCCCACATAGCCGGAGTGCAAAGTCCCCACAGAAGTGACCTCCAGTCGCTCAGTATCTCGGTTATTTCCAACAGGCTGTGAACATGTACATGACACTTTCTCCTGATAGCAGAGTGACAGCAAGGCTGGCAACATACAGCAATGCTGGGACCTCTGTGCTGTTCATAACCCATGGTGGGCAGGACGGGGAGAGGAGGAATGCAGAAAGGAGCTGGTGAGGATCCCAGAGAAACTCATGATTCCTCCGATCTTTGTCTCGGGCTCACCCACGCACAGATGCAATGCTCACATGCACAGCCAAGGAGTGGGTGTGAAGAAAGTGTGCGGGGCTTGCGGGTGGGAATTAAGGGAGGATCACATATGTATGGGACAATAAGTACAAGATGGGGTGGGGGAGAAGGAAAAGAAGACAATGACAAATAGAGTCCAGATGCCAATGTTACTGGTATTTATGATATTATAATGCTCTGCATTCTACGTTAAGCTGTTAAAGTACCACTTTGTTACTTTGCCTTAAGATAACAACTTGCTATTTTGAGCAAACACAGATTTGGAAAAGCCGAACAGAATTAATAGCTGATGGTTTAGGCTTCAGAGTTTTAAAGACTTGAGTTTGAATCTTCACTCCATTAGATTTGAATATGTGACTCTGGGAAAGTTATTTAACCTCTGTTTCCTCATCTGTCACAGTGCCTGCTCTCACAGGGCTTGTGACCCATAAAATGGGATCAAATATCTGAATGCCCTTGCACAGGACGAGGCACAGAGTGAGACTCGATCAACTGATGTTACCTGTTGTTAATTTGTTCTCTTGCAGTGCTGGGGATGGAACCCAAAGCCTTGCACTACCAGGTGACAGTGGATCAAGGGTCTCCCTCTAGCCTAAGGCCTCACTGAAGTGCGTGGTGTGAGCAGCAATGCTCCAGCGCCCTGAGGTTTTCCCACACTTGCCAAGAGGAATGCCCTTCCTTCTCCCAGAGCAAAGGCTGCTTGGCTGCCCCAGTCTGCTTTCACAAGGGGCTTCTGTCAGGAAAGGTGGGGGGATATGAGAAGGTAAACAGAAGCAGGAAGCAAATCCTGGATGAGTACTCACTCTGGGCACACTCACCGAGTCTGGGTCTCGCTGCTGTTCGAGGAAAGCTGAGAATTCCACCAGGCGAAGCTTGGTTGTGCCAATGGAGCGGCCCTGCCAGGCAGGGACAGAGGGAGCTGGGGCAGACGGAGGCTCAAACCCTGAAAAACCAATGCCACCCTTTACATCTGGCCTCTGTCTCCCCCAGGCCTTGGGCTGGGGTTAGGGCAGGGTTTTTGGACATGGAGGACCTCCAAGGGAAGGCCAAGAGCCCCTCCAGAAGCATCTAAGGAGGAACTCAGCTGGGCATTGGTGACCTCTGGCTGAGGCTCCCTGAGACAGGGACCAGCTGAACAGGTGCAGTGCATGAGCTCCTCATTAAGCCAACTGCAGCTAAGCTTAAGGGCAACAGCAGGAGGACGTTTACCCTGGTCAAAAGACCCCAGTGAAGGACCAACCCAGAATGGTTGAAGCACTGGAGGGAAGTTTCTAAAGACCCATGAGACCAGGCATTTCATGCACATCTTGTACTCGTCCACCTTCTTTCTTATGACTGTGGTTACCAGAACTATACAATATTCTCATGAAAGGCTCCAGACCTCGGGAGCAGAGAGCAGCATGTGAGGGTATTTTTCACCTGGGGCCTCTAGAGTGGACAGTAGTGGACTCTGAGCAGGTCATCTGAGTGACTGAACATATGTGGTACTGATGGTATGGGTGGGGATGGGTGTCTGGTGGGACAGGAGGCAGGTGGGTCCACCAGACTCCTGATTTCTATTTTGGGCTTCCATGTAAGAGTCCCTCTGCAGAAAGGGCCCTAGAAGGGCAATCTACTTATCTAAGAAAACCACATCAGTTTACAACTCAAGACTGCCTAATTCAGATGCAAAAGGAACCACAACTTCCCCTTCTAAGTGTGACCAATGTCTCTAGTGAGAATAATTTGCCTTCCTGTTTCTCTACAAACCCTTCTGAAGCGCGCTTGGGAGATGAGTAAGGGAACCTAGGCCCTAGTGTGGGGGGACACCCCTTGTGGCTGTCCTGAGCTCCAGGCTACTGCCACCTTCAGGAAAGCAGGGGTGGTAGAGTATCTATGATTCCCAAGTGAGAGGAGATGTGTAGCTATGGCAAAGATGGCATCATGTACTTTGGGAACCAAACAAGCCTAGCTGTCAGCTATGGGGGCCACTCACCTCCCACCAAAAGAAAGCTAGGAAGACTCACCTGGAATGGGGGCCGTGACCGCAGGCTGGATGGGGTAGGCCTGCTGCACAAAGGGCTTGACACTAGGGACAAACAGGTGACAAGAGTCATAAGTCATAGGCAGGCATGATCTAGGTCTGCCCTGGCCGCCCAAGGGGGAGTCCTCATTGCACTGTTCCCTGCCTACAGGGGTAGGCACATCCCAGGCAGAACTCTATGGACAAAGGCACTTGGCTCTCCCCAACTAAGAGAGCCCAGTAGGCTTCCAGAGATCAAACCACCACACTTCAGCCAGGTACAGGACAAGGTGATCAGATGTCAGCCTGACTTTCATGACTGTGACATCAGCCTCTGACATCCCCACAGGGACTGGGGTCAGCAGACACTATGTCTAGGCGAGGTCTAGAATATGCTTCAGCTTCTCCTGTACTGGGACAATGAGTTCAAGTTCTTTCAACAGGCAGGCAGGGTTTCCTTTCTGCTTTTATTTCCGAACTGCTCTTTTCTGGGGGCCTCAGCCTGTTTCCCTTGCCCCCAAAGAATTTGAAGATGCTCCTACTGGCCACCCGACGGGGGAAAAGCCAGAATGGAAAGTGCTATAGGACTCTGCTGCCCTGTCAGGTTGAGGAAGAGCCCAGGCGCTGCCCTCCAAAGCCACAAAGGGACAGGGAGTCTTTTCTGTTTCCAGCAGATGACCATCAATACCTATGGTGGTAGTGAGGCAGTGTCTTTCTTGCTATTGGCCTCAGAAGAATACAGGGTGGGCTACTGCAGGAATCTATGTAGCCCTTTTTCCTGTAAGCCCCAACAGTTTGATGCAGAAAGTACTTTCCCCAGGGTGGGCTATGACCAGCCTCAGACTTACTCTTGTGAGGATCCTGGCTGCCCTGTCTGTATCATTCCAGGCCAGAACTGGAAGGCAAAAGCAACAATATCTTAAGCACAATTCAGGACGTGTACACACTGCAACCCCTGCTGAAGCACAGCAGGTTCCCACTTCCAACCAGCTGCAGCAGCACCTTCCCTAATCACAGACATGGTCACCATACACTGCGCACAAGATCACAAGCTACCCTTGGCCTGGCAACCCAGGGTTCTCCTTAGCCCCTCTACCCCGAATATCCTCCTGAGGCAGGAGACCAGGCAGCTACTTTTTATTTCTCATTCCACCTAAGAGAGAATGAGTTTGTGGTAGGGGATGCTTCACCTAAGTACAAACCTTTCTTCCTCCTCTCCCTCCACTCCAAAATACTCTCTGAATAATATCTTGCTTTGATGGTTTGCAACACCCAAGGTCCAGGGAACAGTGGACACAGCCCAGAACAAGAGGGCAGGGATTCAGAGAAGCAACACAAGCCTCCATTTGCTTTGAGTGTCCCTGAGGCCTTTGGTGTCTGCTGTTTCCCACCAGACAGGCTGCACGAGACAAGGGGAAACGGCACCTTTCACAGTCACGTAGGCCTGGAGCTAAATCCTGACATCACAATACCTGAAGTTTGCTCCTAGGCAACCTCAGCTCTTTCATCTGTAAAATGGCAACAATAGTAAAAGACATTTCAGATGACTGTGAGGATTAAAGGTGATCATAGTATAATGCTTCTTAGCCCTTGGAATATGGCAAAATGAAAATACTAATAGAAAATTTTGTCTCTTTAGGGGCTAAGTGTCATGAAGTGACCTAAAGGGGAGGGTAAAGAGAGCATAAGAAGGCTACAATCGAAAAGGGAATCAGGAAAATGATGCTTCCCTTTCTGTCTTTAGGGATAAGGATTCCCTTCCTCTTCCCTTCTCTCTTTCCTCTCCCTTCTTTTCATTCATAACATGTGACCCAACGGACCAGAAGGGCCAGGCGGAGGGCTTGACGCTGGCCGGCAGCCAACCCCACACCCTACTCAGCCATCATTCCTGGGTCTGCTTCCTACTTACCCCCGGTGCCCCCGGGAAGGTGGGGCGTGGGATCCCAGGCAACCCCAGCTTGTTGTGAATGGCAGTGGCAGAGACGATCTGGGCTGACGACATGGCGGCCATGTGCTGAAGGGCCTTGTCCTTTGCAGTCTGATCCTTGAAGGTGACAGTGACACAATGATTTAATACAGAACGCATGGCTACCAGGCAGGTTACACAGCCGCAGCCACGAGCACATGGACTAAAATACAGAGCCACAAAAGAGGCCAAAAAAGCAAACATGCATGGATAAATAAACATGGCCAGAAGGCTAAAAACACACTCAACCTACCATAAACTCTGAACATTTGCTAAGAACACCCAGTGGCAAGGCTTTTTTGTTTTTAATTTTTATCTTATTCTATTTTGCAACAGAATGGGGAAGCCTCTGAGAAGAGCAGACAATGAATTTATTTTTTCAGCTTCCACAAAAGCTTTCTAATTACTTAACACATGGTGGGGGGGGAGGCTGGGTGAGGCCATGCTAGAGGAAGAGATGTGTTTGTGGACTGGGGACAGGGTGTGTTGAGCTCTGAGTGTGCTGTGCTCCAGCTGTTTGGAAGACACCTGGCGGGGGCAGCTCAGAAGCAGCGGACAGGTGGAAGATGGGCCAAGCAGCATGCTGGCAGGCGCATGCGTTCTCGAGCATCACCGCCATGGGTCTGAGGCTACCAGGCTTCTTAACAAAAGCCGAGGGCACAGGGGATGACACAGGTAGGTGGTTTCTCCTTTTGCTAAATGAATCTTTTCTAGAAAAGCCAAGACTAGTAACACAAAGCTAGCCAAAAAAGTCTGCCAAGCACAGCTAAAATACAGAATACTCAGTTTAATGAAAATACTTACCATGCTTGTTACCTGGATACAATAATAAACAATTTGTTAAAAAGATTGCATATAAAAGGATTGCTTTTCTTCTTCAGTTATAAATAAATAAATATATATGTGTATGTGCGTGTGTATGTGTGTATACAAGCACAATTCTTGAGCACAATAAAATAGAGGACTATGTCTTTTTCTTCTTCACATTTTAGGAATGTTTGCTCTACATGGCTATTTAGAAAGCCAATTATCAAGGTCACCCAATAACATCCACAGTTAAAAACTCCCATGACCTGGCCTAATGGCTACCCCAGGACTGATGGAGCAACAGTGAGACCCCAGAACACAGCAGGTCCTGCTGGTGCAGGCAGAGCTGTGTGGGGTCAGAGCATGAAGAGTTCTGGATGCAGGGAAACCGTCTGTGCTCCAGGTGCAGATATCACCAAAGCAAGAACAAAAGACTACATCAGAATAATGGAGCGCCCACTGTGGCTGCCATCAGAGCTCACGGTACAGGACGGACAGTCAAAGGCAGCTGCAGGCTTAGACGCTGGATGCCAGCTGAGTGGCAGCCTCCATGTTTTCAGAGCCAACCACAGGTGAGGAATAAACACGCTGAGGTGCCAAAGGCAAGGCAAAGAGGAAGGTAAAACAATCTCGGTCTGCAACACAATGCTGGGGCTTCTAAGAAAGACCCACCCGGCTCAATTTCACAGTGTAGGCACCACTTTGCCCTGGAACTTGCCAGGACTACCATGTGATCCACACCCCACCCCCCCACACTCACAAGGGAGGGGAGGGGAGAGAGGGAAAGAGGAGGGGAGGAGGAGGAGGAGCACAGTTCACTTAAGGCTTGCATAGATTGTTACTTTGTACATTTCTATGGTTCACAACTGAAAAATGAATGGCTTCAAGTACAGCCCTCCACAGGTGCACATAGGCACTATGACCATCTATATGGGCGGGCAAGCACGCAGCTAAAGAACTCCGGGGGTGCTGGTCCAGGAGGGAAGGGCCCCAGGTCACTCAGTGCCACCTGTTATCGCCTTCTTATCAAAGGATACTTTCCAGGTGAGGCTCCATTTGCTAACCTGTTAAAAGCTCTAATCTGAAGCCGGCTTCCTCAGGTAACAACAACAACAAAAAAACCTGAAACATTTCAAATGAAGAGGCGTGGGAGGGGGGTGACTCTTGAAGTAGATGATTTGATGATAAACAATGTGAATGTGACATGCCATGAAGCTGAACTGAGCCCTGGGAATGCAAGTGTGAGTGCCAGTCAGTCCACTCTAGGATGGTCCTGTGGCTTCCCTGGTCCTTGCCTGGCCTATCCTCTCAGAGGGACAGAAAGCACAATTCTTGTCACACTTGCTACATCCGCGATCAGGAATACCTTGACAGCAATGCAAAGTTAGTTTCTCTTTGGACCAGTTTTGCTGGACTCAAAGCCCTGAAGCCTCTTCACCCCTTACAAGACTAACTCTAAGCGATTTCTGAAATTGAGGTAATGGCATAGGTGTGACCACAGGTACCTTCCTCAACATGAAAGCCTTACAAGTTCTCCGGGGGCAGGTCTAGGGGATCTAGCAGACTTCTGGCCTGCCTAATGCTGTGAATTCTGAAGGATAACTCTGAAAGAGCTCATGGGTTTGGGTCTTTTCCAGAAGAATGTGGCAGGGCCTCTCACAGACCTGTGCTTTCTGGATTATGCAACGCTGATGACAAGAGATTCTGCTTCAAGTACAAAATCTTCTGGGTCTGTGGAGGTGGGGCAACTCTCAAATCCAAAGTCCAGCTCCAAATGGAAAAGAGTTTCCTGCATTTCCATCACCTATTTTCTATTAAGGGTTGCCTGGAATGTTTCGCTTTACTAGGTTTATTGAAAAGTTCCTCTAAGTTTCACAAAAGCTTGATATTTCTGTTTGGAACAGAAATATCAACCAATGTGGGAAAAGAGAAAAGCATTTCTCTTGTTTTTTATGTCACATAGCCTCAGAACATGATCTTTTTCTTTTGTTTAATGTTTGACTCATTACCCAGAATTCAACTAGGTACCTAAGTGAAAACAGGAGTTCAAAGAAAGTAGAAGGGCAAATCTAATGCCTCTACAGTGCCAACTGTGGCTAAGATGGCAACTGATACACCTGTGGGGAGATGTGAGACCTGGGCTCCAACCTGCCCTGTCTGATGTGCGTGTACTGTGTTACTGTGGGAAGCGATGTCACCATCCTCTAATTTCCTTCATCTGCCAAATAAGGAGTCACAGCATATTCTCTAATGTACTTTCAGTTTGAAAAATATTTGTAGCTAAGAGAGTGAGGTTCATTATAAAACAAAAACATCTTAATATATAGATAGCCAAGAAAATTGCTAGTGGGAAGACAGCAGGATGTTAAAATGTGAGCCACTCTTAGCTGCCTGTCCTGATAAAAGACAAAGCTGAGTGTGGAAAGAAAATTTTATCTCAAGTAGTGGTTCTTTCTGCACTTGACCTACCTATCTGAGAATAGGCAATTTTCTGCAAATGGACTAAAATGTCTATACCAATGACTTCTCACCTTTTGTAGTGGAACTACTCCATTCGCTTAATTATATACTGTGGCCCCTTCATCTATGATATACATGTGAACATTAAGAAGATTAACATTTTTTTGCTGTTTAAAATCTAAAGTAACCTTGAAGATAGATAATAAGCACCACCAGGATTATCTGGAAATCAGAACTGAGAGCCTGGCCGAAGACCCACTTATTCTGAAATGGAAGTTAGAAAGGATGTGGAGTTAAGAGATTTCAATGGACAGATCTCTCAATTGTCACTTTCAGCCCAGAGATACATGCCTGGGTTTGGAAAAATTATAACTGTAAGTGTCAGACCTGAGTAAATTGCTTCTCTGTGTCACTCTGGTCTGATATCCTGGCCTTTCACACATTCTACTCCATTTTCTCCTCTTACCCCCACACTAAAGGGCTGGGGGCCAATGTAGCCAATAGTGAAGCTTAAACACAACTAAAAACATGTTCTATCCTTGTACACCAATTTAATTTTAAGATGCTGTCTTACCAACATTTCTGAGATGTGGGTGAAATTTACAAAGGATGAGCATGCTGTTTTATCTTGAAAAACTGCTATTAAGTCAATATTGAGTTATTCTCGATAATGTCATATTATAGGGAAAAAAAGGGGGGTGTGAGGTAACAACGTATGAGCAGCAGAGGAAAAATATGTTCAAGAAAAAAGCTTGAACAAGTTTACACTGCCTTCTCCTCATTGCCTTTAAATCCCTTTATCTCTAAGACTAGAAAGAATGGAGCCACAAAGAACTGAACATCTGGGGATCAGGTGGAGGACAGTGAGAGAGGGCAAGTCTCCCTCTTCTTACTGAACCCCAACTTGAGCCCTTAACCTGCGATAAGGAAAATACTTATGGAGGAGGAATTGTGAGCCCTGCCACTGTACACCCCCTGGGAGGTGGGATGGGTGCTGAGAACAAACTGCCCTACAGCTTGAGGATGCAGGCACAGCCCTCTGACTCGAGGTGCATGTCTTATTACCTACTCTGTTTTCCTCACAATCCAATTTCAGACACACCATACCATCAATAGCTTTACTGCCCTGGCCTCGTGGTCCAGCAGGCTGTGTCAGGCATAAACTCCTCAGCCTGAAGCCTTTCAAATTGCTATTGTTATTAAGTAAACAGGCTTTCATATTTCATGAAGCAAGGCAAGGACACTGCTACAACTCTGTTCTGCTAACTGCCTTCTCTTTATGACTGAAATGGACACAATATCTGGAAAATGTCCGTGTGTAAGTCGGTGCCATCACAAAAACACACAGCAGGGACAACAGGATGTTTTCAGAACTCCAGAGTATCTTAAGGATCAGACTCTGGGTATCATAAGGGTCTTATCCTTAATTATTCTATGAAATCAATAATCTCATACTAGTTAGACATTAACAGTAGGCAAATGGTAAGGGTAACATACAAAAGTCACATGCGTGCAAATACGACACATTACAGCTGTGCAGAATGTTAATGAACCACACACAAAAATCGACATTATCTAGTTTATTCAAGGGCCATCATTCCAGAAGTTGGATTCCAATTTAATTTATTCATAAGGACATTTACCAATATATCAGGAAAAACATGAAGTTAAAAAAGACCATAATTCAAAAACTCTTGATAGCTATTAGTATTTTCCTCCAAAATATACTTCCTGTATCAACAGAAAAATATGATGCAAGGTTGAAAAAGACAGCATTGGCTTAAAGACTACTTCTTCAGAGAAAAACAACACATAGAATATCTCCCTAAGAAGTAATTTTGCAGATGTTGTTTTTAATCTTGTACTACCTGAACTCACATGATCTCTGAAATTATTAGCCATATCTCTTGAATGGATAAACATCACTGAACTATATGATGGTTTTGGAGAAAGGATGAAGGGCACTTGAATTTTTTCTAGCCATGATCTCTCATTTGCTTATTATTAGAGAAGGCAGGAGTAAATACAAAAGAGGGCTTTTCTCGTCAGGCAGTAGCTAATGTGGAGGAGAGAAGGCACATTAATACTTCTTCTGACTTGCTGCCTAATGAGTAGCAATTAATTCATCTTATTGTATTTCCAAATGCCAAAGACTCCATTCACATCAAAGAAAAAATTTTCAAGGCTTTTACCATTGTTCATTTTTAAATGTACTGAGCTATATTTAGTATTTTATAATTGTCAACAGCGTTTCCTTTAATTCTGATGTAGGCTTAGCATCATAAAGGAGTGGAGATGAAGAGACTGGTAGGTGTGCCTTGTGACTCTTGGGAAGCCGGCCATTTAGGACAGCTCTGGGCCACATCTGAGCGGGAAAGGGCACACTCTGACCTTAGTTTCTTTTTATCTGGTAGCTAACAGGGAAAGGCAGGAGGTCTCTGTCCCCTGGGAGGCCACAGCAACCTCAGCTGCCAGATGCCTAGACATGAGTTTCAGAAAGAACATGTGCCCTCCTCTTGCTGTGTTTCCTTTAAACTCATGGACCCAAG